ATAAATTGGGAGTTTCATTTTAGAACGTCCTATTAAACGTTCTAAGGTTACTTTTCAGACTCTTAAAGTAAAGTCTTTTAGTTTATTAAAAGAAACAATTGAAGTTGGTGATTTAGTTGATAGTTGTTGTAAAGCTCGTTCAGAAGTAGAATTATCTCGTGGAATAAGTAAAGAATGTGTAAAAAGAAGATTTGATAAAAATCGTTTTATCTTTCTTTCAAACCTTCTCTTGGATATTGCAACTGAGCTTGGCTATTTCTTTGAAACTAAAATGGCTCGAAATGCTGGTGGTGTTATTCAGTTAGAAAAAATAAGGAAAACATTCTATCATTCACAATTCCTTTTTAGTCAAGAAGAAATGATGGTTCGTGGAGTAGCTTTGAATAGGTATGTATTCTCTCTAACTGACAATGTTGACAAACTTGGAAAATTAGATAGAAATGATCCTATCATCATTAAAATCCTTTTTGATCCAATTGAAACTGTAGAATGATAATAGAGTATTAGAGTCAAAAAGAATGAATGTAGTTCAAAGATTAATGAACTTTAATTCATTTTCTTGTAGATTTTCTACGCTTGAACATAGTTTTTAATTCAAAGTTTTTTTAGAATTATTATTTCCTTTTTATTAGCTCTTTGAATTCATTCATTTATTTTTGATAGTCTAATTGATATTTTGATATAAATTTTTTACTCATTTCATCTACTCTTTGACAGATGCACTCTGAAATGCTTTGTTTTTATTAATAATACCTTCTAGACTCCTTTAAGTAGAATCAAAAATAATTTCTAAAAAAAAACAACAGTTTTATTTGAAAGATTGAGATTTTTTAAGTTAGTTTGAGTGTTTAGTATAAGCATTTAATTATACATTCATTGTTGCTGTACAATGTACTTTTGTAAATACAGAATGGCATTCATTTGTTGAACACAATTACAAATTTTGTCAGGGAGAGATTTACAGAATGGGGGGATATCAGTTCAACTCAGGCTAAGAGAAAATATAAACAAGATTCTGTTAAGAATATTTTAAAAGAATAAGAACGCTTAGTTTAAAGAAAGATATTATCAGGTACTTTCATTCTGTAATAATAAAGTCAATTAATAAGAAAAAGCAAAATTAAAAAAAAAGAGTATCTCAAAAATGATTCTTCAATTTGATTTAGATTTTAATGTAATTTCTTCAAATAAAAGTTGTAATGAAAGATTAATTAGAATCAAAGTTTATTTAAAAAAAAAGTAAAAAAGAAAAGATATAATAGTTTAAGTAAAAATGAAATAAAAAGAATTAAAAGAACAAAAGATTAATTTAAAGGAGAATAAGAAGAATCAAGAGTTTGATAATTTTGTTGAAGAGTAATATATGGATTTGGATTTAAAGTAAAACTAACATGTGAATTTCGTTCCAATTTAGCAATCTTTGGAGGACAAAGAAGATTAAAGAAATAAGAAATAAGTCTTGGAGCT